CACATCTTTTCTTTGAGGAAGAAGGTGATTGGGTTTTTTTTTTCCCTTCTCCAACCTTGACGTTTTACTGCTTGATATTCAAGCTGCGAAGCCGAGAGATGACAATAGCAGTGCTTTTCACAATGATACTCTTTCAAGTTTAAGCATAGTTCCGGGTAATGTCAAGGTAAAACAAGATACATTCTACTTCTGGCCTTCACTCTACGGTGAGCCATGGAGGAAGTGAAATCGCTCGGGAAGGCTGAACTTTAGCTTTTAAACAAAAACATAAACCAAACCCGTCGCATGGAGGCGACTCTGACTCAAGTTGCCCCGTGGCTGGCCGAGACGGAGATTGCATGGCTGCCACGGCCTTTCGTGTCCCCGTGGCCCTGTGTTCTTTACACCCTGTGTCAGGCTGGGTTGGACGCTTATCTAGGGGCAAGGAAGAACTCTAGCTCAAGAAGCTGCTGGGTTGGCCCCCTGCCCCCTGCGGCGGTGTTGCCCGCTTTGGGAAACAGACTTAGGAGCGGGAGTCAGAACCAGTACCCCAGATGACCAGGACAAGAAGGCCCGAGTCAGCACCCACCAGCTCCCAGGAGAACACAGCTCATGACAAGACATTTGTACTCCTGTCTCTCACCCAGGGTCCTTCTGCCACGGGCATCACTCCTGGGCATAACTGCTCCCTCTCTCTGCCACCCAGGAGGCCATTCTGATTCATGCTTAACTGCAGGGGAGAAACAACATGCTTTCCCTGTAATCAGGCTGCCTAGCCCAGTCAACAGAAACCCCAGGCACCCCCGTCTCCGAGTGGTAATGACCAGCCCCAGCAGGGCAGAGACTACCACAAAGGTCAATGACTTTGGGTCAGGTGTGCTGAGTACCTGGGGACTCACTCGCTGCCACTGAGTCAAACCATAGCACCCTTATGCACAACAGAATGGAACACTGCCCGGTCCGGTGCCATCTTCAAAACTGTTGCCACGCCTGAGCCCACTGTGGCAGCCACGGTGCCAATCTGGCTCACTGAGGGCCTGCCTCTCTTTCGCTGCCCCCCGCCACTTTACCAAGCATGCTGTACCTCTCCAGGGATTCACCCCCCGGGTAAGATGTCCAATATGTGTGAGGCAGAGTTTTCACCATCCTTGCCTCTAAGGAGCACTCTGGCCCTACTTCTCAGCACAGCATCATTCGTCCTTTTACCCATCCACGGTACTTTCAATATTCTCCTCCAGCATCACAATTCAAGTGTGTCCATTCTTCTGTGATCTTCCTGATTCAAAGTCCAGCTATCGCATGCACTTGAAAATGCCATGGCTGGGTTAGGAGCAACTCAGTCCCCAAAGTAACAAGCTTGCTTTTGGACACTCTAAAGAGCTCTGGTGCACCAGTGTTCAAATCTCAGCAGGGGCCCTCCAAGTGAACAGGTCTCAGCAGAGCCTCCAGGCTAAGAACAGACTGCAAAGAAGGACCAGGCGGAGTGTGTCTCTAACTGCAGTTCAGCAGTTTGAACCCACCAGCCGCTCGGTGGGAGAAAACTAGGCTTTCTACTCCCATAAAGAGTTGAATTCTCAGAAGCTCACAGGGGCAGCCCTCCCCTGTCCTGTAGGTCGCCGTGAGTCCAGATCGACTGGATGGCAGGGAGATTTGTTAGTTGGGTGGTCAGTGGTTACCATGCGCAGCTGCTGACGGCGAGGCCACAGGTTCACTCAGGCGAGAGGTGCCTCTGAGGAAAGGCGTGGTGATTAGCTTCCGAAAACCCCGCGTTGGGATCCCTCAGTTCCATCCTGATGCAAAGGGAGTCTTGATCGCCCTAGCCGATGCGAAGGCCACCGTCTGTGGGTCTGGCCAGTTCCACGTGAGTCGCTCTGAGCCAGCGTCCACTGGAAGGCAGCTGAGGCCGGGCCTGTTTCAGGGGCTGAAAGTGAGGAGGACTTGAAGCACTTGGTGATAAAGATCAAGGATCGTAGCTTCCGGTGTGGATTACAACTCAGTGTAAAGACGACCCAAGCCCTTACAACTGGACCAACAGACAACGTCATGAGAAACAGGAACGATGCACGTCTGTCAAGCTGTCGAGGGTTTTATCTTGCTTGATCCACCATCAGTGCTCAGGGAAGCAGCAGTCAAGCGATCAAGAGGCGTGCTGCATCAGGTCGACCTGCTGCACGGGAGCCCTTTAGAGTCTTGCAGAGCAGGGCTGTGACTTTGAGGACAAGATGCCCCTGACCCAAGCCATGGAGTTTTCAGTTGCCCCATTTGTCTTTGAAAGTGGGACACAGACCATGGAAGACCGAAGAAGCAGCTGTGCATCTGAACTGTGTGCTGACAGGACACACAATCTGTTTTGCAATAAGTCTGGCCAGAGTCCTTCTGAAAGTTCAGCAAGGATGACAAGACACTGTTTTACATACTTGGGATGGGTTGTCAGGGGAGACAGTCCTTGGAGAAGGAATTCGTGTTTGGGAAAGTAGAGGGGCAGTGAAAAAGAGGACGGGCCTCCGGAGATGGGTGGACACAGTGGCTGCGACAATGGGCTCAGGTATCGGAACGGCTGTGGAGATGGTGCGGGACCATGCTGTGTTGCTCTGTTGTGCATGGTGGGGCTCACTACGCATTGAAAAACACCATTTAGTGGCATCTTCCAACAATAACCACACCAGCAGGGGGCGGCAGAGAACTGTCAGTGGGGTCTGCATGGGCGGGGTGGCCACGGGAGTCTATGGGAACGCACCCATGGAACGATAGGGGTGGAGGCTTGATAATGCCAGCCATCGATGTGGGTTTGAGGCAGAAACGCCCCAGGGAATTAGAACTGGCCAGGAGGTGGGGGCAGACTAGACCAAGCCCAGCGGGCAGCCATGAAGGGGCCGGACAGGTGCTCCCTGAAGCCAGCTGGGGCTGGACTTCAGACCAAGGTCGTTGGGATTCCTAATGTCCCTAGTGGTGGAGAGACAGCATAAGCCTAGAGGCTGGGGCTCTGACTTCCAGGGAAGCTGCTGCTGATAGTGTGTGTGTGTGTGTGTGTGTGTGTGTGTGTGTAAACATGGGGAGACAAGATGAGGCATGGGAATGGGTGGCTGGTGGGGGTGACCTGACCTCCTGGCTCTTTCCTGGGTGTTTTTGTTAAAGGTGCCCAGGCTGTGTGATTTCTTCCATTTCTGCCGGTTCTACTGCTTGCCCATCCAGCAGCCTCTGGCGAGGCCTCCTCTCTGCGCCTCTGGTTTAGCCTCGAGAAGTATTTCTTATAAGGGGGGCGGAGGGGGGCACAAACTTTAAAGAATCTGATATACCCCATTAGAAATTATTTCTTTGTTATGAATGGGGAGTTAATACACATATTGTATCATGCCATAGCTCCATCACATCAGGCAGAATTGTACAATTGAGACCATAATCAGCCTCCAAACATCCTTTTCCTTCCTGGACTCTTGACATCATTTCCCTTTTACCCCCTCCCTACCCCTCTACCTCCGCGCCCCCCACCCCCGAAACCTTTATTCTACTTGCTGTCCTCAGGTCCATCCTGAGCTTCACAGACCGAAAGCCAGAGAAACATATAACACAACTTCCAGAGGGCGGCCTCCACTGGCACGACACCTTTGAGGCCCACCCTCCTATGAACCAACAAAAACACAGGAAATACTGAAAACTGGATCAGGTCCAGCATGCATCAGAGGGGGCGGTCAACTGACAAAGTTTTAATTGTTCAGGTCAGGTTTATGCCTTTGATCTTCTATCCTCATCTCTCCCATGCCCTCTGGTTAGGAACCACTCTCCTCCCATCCCTCAATGGTGGATAGAGGGAGTTCACCAGAGGCTTATTTCCTACGTGGTTCCCACAAACGAGGCTTGGACTCCCACCGTCATCCATAGCCTTCTGCAAACCAGATTCTCACAATTTAGGCTCAATTACTAATCCCTCCTTCGATTTCAGATGACACGGTGGTTTACAATCCTTCAGTGATGGTGTGTTTCTTCCATGTGCACTTAGTTGACCTCTCACTTTGACAGCTGCTTGTTGGGAGGCAAGCCTTTCAGACCCCAGACGCTATTTTATCTGATAGCCAGGCACCATCTAATTTCTTCTCCACGGTTTTTTATAGCACCCGTATCTTCTGTGTTCTCTTTCTCGGGTGTTACACCCCGTGTTGACCCTCAGTGCCCACACAGGGTTCAAGGGCTAGGGCGTGCCCCATCCCTGTACACCAAAACAAGGCACTGCTCGGCCCTGTGCCAGCCTCACAGCCGCCCCATTGGAGCCTATTGCTGCTGCCACTGTGCCGATCCACCTCGTGGAAGGTCCTTCCCTCTCCACTGCCCCTCCACTCTCCCAAGCAGCACGTCCTCCGGGGTCTGGCCGGTGGCCTCAGTCTGCTCTCACTCCTTTCCTGCAGACAAAGAGGGTGCTGTCAGGGACGCGGCCCGGCATGGGAAGTGCTCAGCCTCTAGAGGGAACTAAGCAGATTACATTTTTTAAAAGATTACTTTAATCCCCTTAACAAGGACCACTGAGGGGGAGGAGTGTATTTGCTCAATTATGAACTATTTCAAGCAGGCACAGGATAAGCATGGCAGAGTTTTTGCATTCACCAGCTCCAGGACGTCCACTCCAGCACTCTTTTTTCCATAAAAGCAGTCATTCCCAACCTGTAGGTTTTCTTATTTAAAATAAAAATTGTGATTTTTTTGGGGGGTGGGGTGGGGACACCATTAGTGCGGTAACATATACCTCACATCAAAGCCGCCTGTTTGAGCACCGCGGCTCATGTTTATCAAAGACTGGATGTTTCAAACGTGCCGGTCTGAGGTTCTAAAACGCTCCCAGGGCTGCAAGGTCCACACCCCCAGCTAATTCCGGAACGCTTTCCAAACATTTTTCCCAAAACGCCATGGGAGTTTTCTTTTCAAGCTACATTACGAAGTGGCACCAGGAAGCACGAAATGCTGGCTTCCCCAGGCTGGGGCCCAGAAGGTCACCTCCCCTCACACATGACCCCTGTCTGTATCCCTTCCAGGCAAACAGGAGACCGCTGGGGCCAAGCTGCTGCAATCTTATCGGAAGCTGAGGTGAGGGCGGCGCTGGGGCTCCTGGGGGCAGGAGCGCAAAGGACACCTGGAAGACGTCCTGACTTTCAGGGGTTCCCTTCTCAGCCATGGAACTCAAAGTGACAAGAGGTTCAGACAGGATTCCGGATGGTGATGAAAAGCCCCCGAGGTGGTGGCGGTTAGGAGCCATGGACCACAGTGACACTGCACAATGGAACAAAGCCCCACCTGCCAGGTCCGGCGCTAGCCTCACCACCGTCCGGTGCCAGAGCCCATGGCTGCAGCCACGGGGTGGCCGTGGTCGCTGGCCTGTTCTAAGGAGACCTTGTTTGGTTTGGTCTCTCCCGGAATGTGCTGAGGAAACACAATGCTATTTCCGATTGCGAGGTCACTGGTCATCTAAAGCCAGCGTGTGCCCTGTGACCCGTGACTCAGGCCCATGTCCAGCCCTTTGTCTGGTGCTGGGCATCGGCGCCCGGGCTGTACCATGTATGGAAGTGAACGATGGCCCCAGAACTGGCAAAGGCTCCGTGTCGAGGGCCTGGCTGTTCTGGAATACTAGCGGTCAGCTCCCTCTGGAAGCTGGTTTTGGATCCATCCCAGAGCGTTTTCCTTATTTCTCCCACTCCCGCCCCCCTCCTCTGGCTACTTCCAACACAGGCTCCCACCGGTCCCGCCCCCAGCTGGGGTTTACATCCCCAAATTCAGCTGGCATTTAAACTCCGATGGAACAAGGGCGTGGAGCCTGTGATTCCAAAATAGCTGGGGTGAGGGTTGGGGGACAAGCCCCTTCAATAGAACAAAATGATCAGTACAAATATGCTTGATACAATTGATGCACGGAACATTGTAAGAGCCCCCAATGAAATGATTTTTTAAAAAAGAATAGAATTAAATGCCCAAAGTCTCACCCCGAGTTCCCTATCCAAACAAAACAAAGCAAACTCGCTGCTGCCCAGTCAGCCCCAGCTCGCAGGCACCCTGCTAGGGCAGGGGTGAGCCGCCCCCGTGGGTTTCTGAGGCTGGGACTCTTTACGGCGACACAATGGGCCATCTTTCCCCCAAGGAGCAGCTAGTGGATTCAAACTACTGACCCATTGTGGCTAACAGCCCAGCCGGACACCCATTACGCCACCAGGGCTGTCTGAGACACACACAGCTGCCAGGAAAGGGTGTCCTTAGGGTGGGGCCACGGGGCAGGGATTCTCGTTCGGAAAAGTGAGAGAGCAAGAGATGGCTGAGAAGTTGAATGAGAGGATAATGTAGGTGTGTATGAGAGAGAGCTAGAGAGAGAGAGAGACCTGGATCCCTAAATAGTCCATAACCGGTTCCTTCCTCTTTTCTTTTCCCTTGCCAGCAAAATCTCCGTGGTTCCTCCCACACCACCTCCCCACAGTGAAAACCAGTGTGGTAGCTGCTCGGGGGTAAGGTCTCCGTGTGTCCATGGCTCCCCCAGGGAAGGGAAGTGGAGAGGAAGGGGAGGGTGGGCGAGGCTTGCAGGGGTTGGGTAGAGAGCCTTCCGGAAAGGGATTGGCTTGGTCGGAAGAGGATCATGAGCCAGGCAGAGGACAGAGCCCCTGAATTAGAGGTTGGGCCTCCCCAGGTATGTGACAGGGGCTAAGGGACCATCCTGTTCCCCAGCTCTGCCTGTGCCTAACACAACTTTCTGCTCTGTACTCGGCCTCTTCTCTCTCTGCCTGTGCTTTTGAGTGTGTGTACAGGAAGGCCAGTGGGCATCTGGGGAACCTGGGTTGACTCCGAGTGTGTGAGTGAGTGTGCAAATGTGTGTGCTCATCTTCAAGTGCCTGCAGGAGCAACTGTAAAGTGGACGTGCCGAATGCTGTCAACAGAAATGAGCAGTGTGGTCGTGGGAGTTGTGTGTGTGTTAGGGATAGAATGGTGTGGTCCCCCTCTGTCCCCCCTCCATCATGTGGTATCAATCCTCTCTACCTGTGGTTATAATCCCCCTTGGGGAGGCATTCCCTTTGTTGGGGGAATGAGGCGTGGTTAGTGTAGGGTTTATCTTGAGGCAGGTAGAGAACAGAGCCCCTGAATTAGAGGTTGGGAATCTATTATGAGACATAAAAGTATATTATGAGATGTAAAAGAGATGAAACAAGCAAGTGAGGACAGAGGGGACTGAGAAATGCCAAGCCACAGGCAGGTCAAAGAGCCTTGCCTGGATTGGAGAGAGAAAACCTTCCTGGAGTCAGCACCCTCGGTTTGGACCTGGAGCCTCCGGAACTGTGAGAGGATATCTTTCTATCTGTTAAGGACCCTAGACTTGTGGTCTTCTCTTAGAGCAAAGACCCTGGGCTTCCCTCCTGAGAACTGGAACCAAGAACCCTCGTCTGACTCCCCCTCTGGATGTTGTGAGGAAGGAGTGAACTGAGAGGGGCACTGGGTGCCGCTTGGCTTCATTACTGTCTTTGTGAGAACAAAAGGGGCTGCCCTATTTGGTGAGGAGAGAGTGCAGACGTAAATATTTCTTTCCAATATCAGTGGCAACCAGGTGCTCTTCAAAGTCTACCCCTGCTTCCCCTTGAGATTCCAGTTCTCCATGGGTGCTTGACCATGGTCCTGTCCCAGCACCTGTGTGCTCAGAGCATAATGGCTGGGGGATGGTGGGATGGCGTGTTAGGCTGGGTTCTCTAGTGAAGCAGAAAGGGATTCGCACATTTGTAGAAGTGGGTACGTGTCAGCTGAGAAGCTGGAGGTGACCTTGACTGCTGGAGCTGACTCACCAGAAAGCAGGGAGACAGGACACCAAGGCCATGGCTGGATGCTGAAGCGGATGAGTGCAAGGATGGTAGGTCAGGTGGTAGACTCTGATGGCTCCCAGAGTCATCAGGCAATATGGTGAGCTGTTGGCTCAAGTCCAAAGAACCAGATGAGTCAGATGGTAGCATCTAGACCAGCAAGAAGCGAGCTCGCTTCTCCACACCACCAAGCAGGCCCACACCCTTGAGAAAACACCACCAGGACTGGGACTGAGTAATGGGTTACATTCTGTTTTAATTTTCCTACAATCTCTTGGCTCTTCACAGCAGATCCCACCATGGAATTGATTACGTTATTTTAGATCACACTATGGGGAAAAGCTCAACTGTCAAAGTATTGAGAATCCTGGCCCAGCCAAATTGACACAAAACCTAACTATCCTAGATGGATGGATGATTAGATGAATGGTTGGAAGGATGGAGGGATGAGCGGAGAAGGAGAAAGGGAGGGGAGGGAAGGAGGGATGAATCGAAAGGTAGGTGGATAGACTGATGGATAAATGAGTAGTTGGATGGAGGATGGATAGTTGGATGGATGGGTTGAGGGATGGATGGGTGAATGGATGGATGGGTTGAGGGATGGATGGGTGAATGGATGGATGGGTGGGTAGATGAGACCTGTAGAATGAAGTGATCTCTTTTCTGCTATTTTTTCTCTTATTTCTTCTCTTCTGTTTCAGGACATGGGTTCATCAACTCCATTCTGGCTACTGTGTACCCTGTTTACCTCAGCCACTAAGTCATGGCATCCCTGTGGGTGTCCTTTCTGTGCTCAAATGGGTGGGACTATAGAGAAAGGAGGTTAAATAAATGGTAATTTACTTGGGTACAATCTTTAAGCCAATAAAATGTCAGTCATTATTTCAAGAGGCAGTTGTTATCTTGTCAGCAACCCATTGATAGAGTCCCTCCCTTTAAGATAGACAGATGTCAAAATATAGAGGAGCATGCTGAGTAAAGAGATGCCTGTCTTCCGAGGGGACCATGTCCCTGCCCAGCTGCAGGCATGCATGCATACACCCACACCTGCACACACCACACCTACACTTCCCCCCGTGCAACACCCCCATCTACACAACACCCCATACCCACACACATCCACGCACAACACGAGTCCCCACCTGCACACACTACTCCTACACCTCCCACATGTAATATGATACCCCATACCTGCACACATCATGTCTACGCCTCCCCACCATATAACACCCCCATCTGTACATCTGCACATACCCACACACACCATGAGCCCCCACCTGCACCCACACCTGCACATACTCACATGCACAAGCAGAACACTTGCACACATCCTCACATTTGCACATATACCCCTCACATGTATATGCCCACATACCTACGCACCCCCACATATGCATACACAACCTGCACATGCACACGTACCTCCACAACACCTCTACATATCTAAGAGACACCTGCATATATATGTCCTCACATTTGCACATCACACCCATCTGTGCAACACACTCAAATGTGCACAGATACATACATTTTCACATCTGCACAGATACACACCTGTGTAACACAACGCACCTACATGTACCTACACCTGAATACCTACCTGCTGCAATGCACACCTAGGCAGCACACCCAACACTGTATGCACCCACACCTGCGCACATACCTGCATTCCACACACATACCTATTTAACACACTCACACCTTCATGCACCCACTCATCTGCACACACCCTACATACCTGAATATCCTTGCAACACACCTATCCCTGCGTATTCTCACCTGGGCATATATGTTTGCACATAGGTATGCACTGGTACACACACATAGCTATGCACCACCTCTGCATGCACCACCCCTGCAAGCACCCGCTGGTGGTGTGGGGCTGGCAGGCTGGAAGTGGCTGGGGCAGGCACAGGCCGCCGCACATAACTTACTTGCTCTTCTCTGTCTCTGTTTTAGCTACAGGATCTTGGTCAGTTTAAAGGATTTAATAAGTCGGTGGAAAATTTGTTTCTGTCTGTTACCACCCACATGAAAAGTAAGTGGATGCCGTGCTATGTGCTCTTCCCGCTCCAGGCAGACTAGCCCGGGCGCCCCATCTTTCCCGCTCGGTGGCCACTGCGTGGTTGGCAGGCCCCTGAGCTGCCCAACCACCCCCCCACCCCCACCCCGGCTCCTGGGGAAGGAGCCAGGACCCACCTAGGCCCCTTGCATCTGGCCTCACTTCCCAGCGCTTGGTTGTGCAGTGATTTGCAGAAGGGAGGCTCCAGAACAGGGGGCTCGGCTCAGTCTTCTGCTCAGACCCACCCGTTTTACTGTTTACCTTAAAGTGTGGGCCTCATGAGCAAACTCCTCCTTGCTGCAGGGGCTGGGTGGTGTAAGTTACCCGGAGGATGGGGGTCACTGGGTTCAGAGGCTGCGCGTGCCCCCTCCTGGGCTCCCTACAGGTGTGCCTGCACGCTCTCACTGTACCCTTGAGGTGCAGACAATCCTGCCCTTTGGTTTCGTGCCAGCCTTGCTGGCAGTCCTGTTTAAACTGTCATCTGACCACAGTGGCTCTCCAGACAGGGCCGTCCCAGGCAGCAGACAGGCCTCCTTGTCCTTCAGAAGGGAGGGGTGTCCAGATGTCATACCTGCTAGTTCTCAGTAGTGCCGAGAGGTTACCAATCCCCTCCCCGAATCTGGCCGGCAGTCTCCCACCTCTGCCCACACAGCAGCTTGGGCCCAGCTCTGATGGTGGCCACTGTGTCCCCTAGTCAGCAGGCTCCCCCAGACCCTCCTCAGCCTCTCTCTCTGGACACATGGCCCCTGGCCACATTTCAAGGCTGTGCAGCCCCCCACGAGGCATGGAGGCTGATCCCCGCATTCAGACCATGGGACCCCAGAAACCCAGAGACAGGGACGAGGCTGCACCTGCTCCAGCCCCAGCTGCCCCCGGACACGCTGAGCTCCCCAACCAGACAGGCGAGTCATCTGTCCTCGGGACTGGCCGGTTTAACCAGAGCACCAAGATCTTGATCTGCAAGGGCAGAGCTGGTGCCGGCTGGATTCTTCTGAGGGAGTCCCAGCCTGCATCCCCTCCCTCAGCGGGCCCCCATTTGCCCAGGCCCTGTGACTGGCCAGGGCCTCTTCCTCCTGGGCCGCTGAGAATGACCCAAGGCCTTTCCCCGGCTCTTTCCGGGAGCCACCCCAGGTCTCCTGCTGCTCGGCGGGTGCAAACAACTGAAAGGCAGGGTCATGGGAAGAAGGTCTCCAGCCGAGAAAGCAGCCCCGTGACCCGACAGGGCACAGCTCTACCTGGACTCCTGGGCTGGCCACGAGTTGGAGTCCCCTTGATGGCACCTTTTTGGGGGGGCAGGGTGGACACTGTCGGAGATGTGGCTCTTATCTCCCAGGTTGTGAGGAGTTTGCTCTGTGTCCCTCTTGAGGCTCTTTGGGGGCAGTGTCGCTGTGGGGCGGGGCGGGGAGCAGGGAGCGGAGGGGCTTAGGGAGGAGGAGGGGGAGGGTGAAGCGGGCTCCCGGGGGGGCCCCTGGGCAGAGGAACCCAGTGAGCACTGAACAGTGGGTTTCTTTGTCCCCGTTTTCACGCTCGCCCCTAATGGCCCCCCGAGAGCCTGCTTGCTGGAAGCTGAGTTGGATTGTCCGGGGAGGCCTTTGTCGCACTCACAGGCAGCTGGAAGCTGGCCAGGTGAAGGCGTGGCTTTGGGTGGGAGCCCAGCAGACTCGGGGACAGGAACCTCTCCCAAGGGCTGGAAATGAGGCTCGGTCCCACCCCCGCCAGCCCCCTGTGTCCTCCAGTCGGCTTCAAGGGGGGGGGGGGTGCCTCACAGCCTGATGGGAAAGCAAGCACACGTTGGGTGGAGGGGCGTTCTGGGGGGTTCTCTGGGAGAGCAGATGTTCCTCAGACAGCCCCGGGCAGCACACAGTACCCACCCTGTCAGTGGAGAACAAGTCCTACCCTGGAGGCCCTGAAATGTGACCGTCCCCAGGGGAGGCGTGCGCCAAGAGGAAGCCACTCTGGGGTCCAGAGACAGCGGGGAAACATCTCCTCTGTCCCATCCCGGTGTGTCCCCACAGATGGGGTTAGAACAAAGCACTTCTCAGAGTCGGTCGCACCGACGTTCTAGCATCAAATCGAGGATTGAAACTAAATGACACAGCTTTCATTTGGCTTCTCCAGACGCGGCTCCTCAGGGGCCCCTGGGGTGGGATGAGCATCAGATGGCTCCTCTGGGAAAGAGGGTCTCCGGACCCCGGGGGGTCTCTTCCAGTGGAGGAAGGGTGCCCAGGCCCCCGGGCTGGGGCTCCTTCCTCCAGCCCTGGGCCACGTTTAGTTTAGGCCACTGCGGTGCTGTGCGGACCAACTCCCTCCTCCCTCAGGGGCTGTTTACTCACACGGGACGGACGGGCCTTTGGAGGGAAAGCCTTTGCAAGGAGCCCCTCAAACCTGCTGGTTGGTTAGGGCGCCCTCTTGTAACGCAGAGTCGCCAGTTCCTGGAGGCCAGGGGTCATGTGGTTCCATCCCGGTGACCAAAGAAGGCTACGGCTCTGGCGTGGACCCCGCCTCCTCTTTTTGCCCTTGGCCTGGCCCATACGCCCAAGTCCAGCTCAGCCTCTGCCCCCTACCAGCTGTTCCCTTGCAGCCATGGGGCCGCCTGGGCGGAGCTGTGGGCGCACCCTGAGCCTGGCTTGGAACGTCTGGGCCCCTTGGAGCGTTCCTGCTGTCACCTCCTGTGTTTGTTTTCTAGAGCTCTCCAAGTCCCAGAATGACATGACCTCTGACAAACACCTCCTAGCCGCGGGGCAGAGACGGAGCAGGACGGAGAGGAGAAGCCTGTCTGACACGGCCATCAACGTCACCACCAGGGTACCCACCCCTCCTGACTCGCTTGCTCCTCAGACTTGCTCCTCCTCCTCGTCAAACGGTCTGTTCTCAGGAAAAAAACAGTGCTCTTATTGGGGCAGGAGCCCTGGTAGCATAGTGGACTAGACAGTGTTCTGCTAACGCAAGGTCAGCAGCTTGAAACCACGAGCCGCCCCTCCCGGGAAAAATGAGACTTTCTACTCTCGTACGGAAATACAGTCTCGGAAACTCACAGGAGTGCTCTTCCTTGTGCTGTAGGGTCTCTGTGAGTCAGAATTGACTTGTGGACAGTGAGCTTGGCTTGGGGTTCTTGTGGTACAAGGGGTCATTGAGCACCCCAAAGCACCCCAGAAAAAAGACCTAGTGATCTACTTCGGGAAAGTCACCCTTTGACAGACGGACAGAGCCATTGACGCTGACTCCCTCAGGGGCGCCAGGGCTCTGCTTTGACGTGACGTCAGCTGGTCTACTTGTGGCAACGCGACCTATTGATGAGGGGCTCAGAGGCACTCCTGACCAAGGGGTGGGGTGGGGGGCTCAAACCCACCAGATGCTTCAAAGGAGGAAGCCGAGGTCGTCTGCTTCCTTAAAGCTCCCCACTACCCTGGGGTCCGTTCTGACGCAGCCACTCTAGGACAGAACAGGACTGGGGGGGCTGTAATGGTTATGCTTTACTCCTGCAGAGGGGCTGGTGGGTTTGAACCATCACCTTTGCAGTCAGCAGCCCAACCCTTAACTGGCCTGCCTTCTGTAAAGATGACGGCTTTGGAAACCTGACGGGACCATTCTCCTATAGGGCTGCTGTGGGTTGGAATGGACTCTGTGGAAGGGACATGAGGTCACCGTTCAAGGATGATTCTGGAAAACAGTCCCAGTTTTGACTTTATGGTGCCCTGGGCACTGTCTTTGCTCCCCACTGCCTGCAGGGCTCCTCCCTAGAGGGGGCCCCAGACCAGCCTGTGGTCTCTGAATGCCCCCACCCTTCCCCCAGAGCCTCAAGCCTCTGGCTGCCATTTAAGACCAACAAATCTGCTTTCAGCCTGTCCCTGGGCTCCGGTGGGTACCCAGGGCAAACATGGGCTGCTCAGCGGGGGTGGGGGTGGTGACACACGGGAGGGGCTCCCTCTGGGTGCCTGAGCCACAGAGCATTCACCGAGCTGAGTTTCCTGGGCACCATCCCTCTGGGCTCCCCCAGAAGCACCCAGGCACAGGGGCAAGCTCCTTTGGCCTCCAAGCCCCTGGCTTCAGGACAAGAGGTGCCCAGCCCCCGCAGTTGGCCTCTATCCTGTGCTGACCTGGCTGAGAGAGGCCCCTGCTCTATACCAGCCTGTCCTGGGCCAGGCCTTGCCAGGCCGACTGGCCTGCAGACCAGGCCCTGTGCTGTTGCCAGTGTCAGACTCATAGCCACCCTGTGCACAACATGGTGACCCACTGCCCTGCCGGGCGCCATCCTCCCCATGGCTCCTACGCCTGAGCGGATCTTTGCAGCCACTGTGTCCATCCATCTCACCAAGGGCCTTCCTCCTCTTCCTCTGCTTTACCAGCACGGTGTCCTTCTCCAGGGACCGGCCTCTCCTGGCAACAGGTCCAGAGTCTGTGAGACAGTCCTGCCACCCGTGCCTCCGTGGAGCATCCTGGTTGCAGTTCTTCCAGGGCTGACGTGTTTGTACTTTGGGCGGTCCTGCATGTCTTTGTCCGTGGTTTGAGATCCTGTTTCTTTGTATCTCTCTTGCAAACACCCCGCTGCGTGGATGGATGCGTATCCGTTTGCTCATCCTCTGGTTTGCTTCGGTGTGTGGCACTAGCATTTATCGCTGTGCCACACAGCTTGATGCCGGGGATTCCCTCTTGCCAACCTCACGGCAGTCTTGGAGGAAAGCCACTGCCTTAGTTTGCATTCAGGGAAAGAGATGAAGTCGCAGCCCAAGGCTAGAAAGCGAGCGGGCTGCACAAAGCCTTGATCTGGAGGCTGAAGGCAGAGCGGCGGCTCTCCTCCTGGGACAGGGCGTGGGCCCCGTCGGATCCATGGTCACAGGCAGCCTCTGGGCTGCCAGCCTGGACTGGGTGCAGGACCTCAGGTGTGTCTCTCACAGGAGCCCAGGTGAGCCGTGTGGTTGCTGCTGCTGCTTCAGGGTTGCCTCTGCCCACTCTGGGTAGCAAGGTGTCAGGCCCTGAGACCCCAAAGTGCCAACCAGCATGCGCTCACTTTGGCTTCCCAGGGTCTCCTGGGTGCCGCCGCAGTAACTGCCACCTGACAGCCCTCCTCCCTGTCAGAGGCCCGACCTGGGAGAGGGCGGTCGTTCCTGCAGAAGCGCATGCAGGATTCCCGGCTGTCTGGTGGTATTGCTCCCAGTTCCTGCAGCAATGCCGAGTGGAACCCTGCCAGTCCCACTTGTTGTGAGGTGCCATGGAGCCAGCTCGATGCACAGCACCCCTGTGCAGCGTTCCCAGGACTGCACATCTCTACCCGAGCAGACAGCCTCGTCTTTCTCCCACAGATGGCTGGTGGGTTTGAACTGCCAGCTTTTCAGCTAGCAGCCCAATGCTTAGACTGCCAAGGTCCCAACGAGACCAAACAACCAATTTCAACAAAACTATCTAACATCACGTAGTTAATAAAAAAAAAATCTTAAGAAAGAAATCTTTTGCTTCCTGCCCATATGACGTTCTTAATGTCATCCACAGCTCGTTAGGTTGTCTGTCATTATTATTCAATGAGTCAAATCTGTTCTTGAGATGATCTTGAAATTCAGGTGGGATATACTCAATGCCCTATTGTGGACTTGTGTTCATTTTCTGCAACTCCAGCTTACCTAGGAGCAATTGATGATCTGTTCCACAGTCAGCTCCTGGCCTGCTTTTGGCTGACGAGTCTGAGCTTCTCCGTCGTCTCTTCCAACAAACTCACTGCCATCAAGTCCATCCGACTCCTAGTGACCTATAGACAGGACAGGACAGCCCCTGTGGGTTTCCGAGACTGTCACTCTTCAAGAGAATAGAAAGCCAAGTCTTTCTCCTATGGAGCAGCTGGTGGGTTCGAACTGCTGACCTTGTGGTTAGTAACCCCACAGGTAACCCCTCTGCCACCAGGGCTCCTTCTCTTCCCTCAGATGTAGTCAGTGCTGATTTCCGTGGGTTCCATCTGGAGAAGTCCACGTGTATAGTTACCATGTATGTTGTTTGAAAAAGGCATCTGTGATGAAGAAGGTGTTGGTCTTGCAGAATTCCATTGTGCAACCCCCAGTTTGTTTCTATCCCTAGGGCCATATTTTCCAACGACGGTTCCTTCTTCTTTGTTTCCAGTGTTGTATTCTAATCCCCAGTAACTCTCAATGCATCTTGATTGCATGTTTGATCAATTTGTGACTGAAGTCGGTAGACTTCCTCAGCTTCTGCATCGCTAGCTGTAGTGGTTGGAGCATAAATTTGAACGATAGTTGCATCGATTGGACGTCCTTGTGTGAGCACAGATATTACTCTGTCACAGACATCGTGGCACTCCGAGATAGATCCTGAGATGTCCCTTTGACAATGAATGTGAATCAATTCCTCTTGAGCGTGTTATTCCTGCCCCAGCAAGCAGATGACTATCTGATTCAAAATGGCCACTACCAGTCCACTTCCGCCACTAATGCCTAGGAGGTTGGCTTTCATGCTGCCCCTCTCATTTCTGATGCCTTTAAGTGTTCCTAGATCTATGCCTCACACAGCCCAAGTCCCAACTATTAATAGGCATTTACCCTATGACCATGCCCTGCCAGCAAATGAGGCCCTGAAAGCCTCCCTCCACCCACACCGTGATGGTCAGCTTTGCATTGAAAGGCATTTCTCCCTCAGGCCTATGTGGGGGGCCTTCCAACCCAAGGGGTTCCTCTTCTGCCTTATGCCTGGCAGTGTCTGCGGCTACTCGTGAGGCGTTCAGTGTCTGACGTTAGTCCGTTGCTGCTCATTGGACTTTCCATGGCTCGTTCCTCAGAAGTGGCCACTGCCGTCCCTTCTCCATAGTCTGTCTTAGTCTGGAAGCTCTGCTGACACACGTTCCCCTTGGGTGACCCTTGTATTTGAAATACCAGTGACACAACTCCAGAATCAAAGCAGCACACCAGCCAACTGGCCGGCGGGGGGGATGGCGCAGCCCCAGGCAGTAGTACATTCATTTCACATCGGGTCGCCATGGGCAGGACGCAGCTCTAAGGCACCTGACAACAACAACAACAACAACAACGAATGGAAGCAGGATCAGAACCTGCGCTTATCTGATCCTAAATCCTAAACTCTTGACATCCATGTTCTATACCCCAAATAAGAAAGGCCAACGAAGGTCCCTGGGGCAAGGGAGCTGAGGAAGGGAATTGTGGGTAGTGTAAATAATTCTCTGACTGGTCTGAGTCAGCAGGAGCCACCCCGCTGCCACCTTATGCCAAGGGTGAGGTGAGGAAGACCAGGCATGAGCACACTGGGGCAAAGAGATGCCCAGGAGATGATGTGGCCAGACACCATTGCCGAACTGACTCCCCTTGACCCTGCAGGACAGAGTGGGACTGGCCCCACGGCTGTAGCTGTGAGTCAGATGATTGGACAGCAGTATGAGGAAGAATCTTCACAGGAACACACTGCCAGATCTTTCTACTGTGTGGTGGCTGGTGGGTTTGAACTGCCAACCTTTTGGTTAACAACTGAGCATGTACTTGCTGTGCCCCCAGAGGCTGGTAAAGCCTGCTCCAAAGACTGCACTTCCCATCACCCCAGTGTGGGTGGGATGGAGAGAGAGGAGCTGGGTGGCAGCCCAGGTGGGCGCCAGCCACACGGAGTGACCTGGGTGGTGGCCACATTCCCTGTCGCTGATGCGATGTGCTGTGTGCTGGGGCCAGCGGGGCGTCTGATGTTCTGCGAGCTGGTAGCACTTGGCTTCCTGCTGAACAGGCATGTGGGACAGAGCCCTCGGACAGCAACCAACTGGGGCCAGGTGGACTCAGATTGCCCCAGAACAGAGAGTCCCCATCCCGCAGCCCCTGCTGTGTGTGACCTCACCTCCTCCGGGTCAGCGCCTTAACCACGTTAGCAGGCACCCCCGCACCCCACCCCCGACCTTAATTGAGGGGATGGCAATTTTAAGGGCAATGGAACAAGATGTTTATAAAGTGCTCAGCAATCATGGTCTGGCCTATAAATGCTAAGTAATGATTGGGGTACGAAAGAAAGGGGGCATCGTGAGCAGGGCACTTAGCACACTGCAATTACAGTAGCTCCTGGAATGTTCCAGTAACGTGTCAACACTGATTAGGCGCTGAGAGGCCTCTGGAGAGAGGGGCATCAGCGTCCACTTTACAAGTGGCTTCAGTGAGGCCGGGAAACAGCAGGCCTCTTTCTGAAAGCCACAGGACCACTCAGAGATGCCCACCGTGGACAGAGACGGCAGAGAGGCCCCCGTCACTTTATCGTGACCTGTGAAATTAACAACTCGTCATCTTGATCATATTATAGTTTTCGTCCTTTAAAAACGTCCTGTCTTCGTTTTTAGACATTTTAGCATTTTGTTGGTTGTACAATCATCCTCACGGTCAGCTGTAGAACATTGTCTTAATTCTTTTTTTTAAATCATTTGACTGGGGGCTCGTACACTTCTTATCACAATCCATCCATCCATCCATTGTGTCAAGCACATGTACATCATTGTCTTAATTCTTGTCCTCATCGCTGTTAGCTCCCTATTTTCCCACCTTTATACTAATTCTCCACTCCATCGTATTCTCTCTATTCCTCTCTGACGAGCTTATCGATGCTGAACCGTTCATGTTCTCCCGGGCCCCTAGCCCGCAGGCAGTGAGACACTCTTGCAACATCTTCCTCCTCCACGCAGTCGGCAGGCCTGGTGTTCATCCTCTTCTCCTCAGGAAGGCACGCTCCGGTTGGTCTGTGGGGTGTGCCACCCAGGGGCTGGACAGGCAACCCCTGGAGAGTCACCATTGCTCCACATCCTCTTCCTCCTCTCTCTCCCTTTCCTCCTCCTCCCCCTCCCACTGGGATTTGGAGGGATGGATGGCATACACTCAACTCACTGCCATCCAGTTCATCCCAACTCACAGGGAACCTCTGATCCAAGCAAACTCCATGCTCACACCATCAAGTGATCCTGCGGACAGAGTAGAACTGCCCCTGTGGGTTTCCAAGACTGGACACGTTCGCAGGAGTATCTGCTGGGATCGAGCCTCGTTATTGAAGCTGTAACTCGTAATTTGGAGGGAATCACTTCTCCCATTTATTCTCTAATAGTTTCAGTACATCCCCCTCCCCCCACAGGAAAACTGTGACCAGGTGCAACTGCTGGAGTTGCAGGGTCTACTTGCAGCCCAGCCTCTGAACGGAAAGTCTTGGCTCAGGCCCGTCCTGTGAGAAAGAAAGTTGGCCGTGTTCGCTGCGTTACTTCCATGAGCGTCGATGGTGGAGCTGAGCAAGACAAAATCCTTGACCGCTTCGATCTTTTCTATATTGCTCGTGTTGTGACCTGTTGGTCCAGTGGTGAGGGTTTGGGTCTCCTGACATTGAGTTGTCAGCCATTCCGAAGACTGCAGTCCTTGCTCCTCCTCAGCACGGGCTTCAAGTCCTCGCCACTTTCAGCAAGCAGGGTTGTGTCCCCTGCCTATCCCAGGTGGTTAATAAGCTTTCTTCTGATCCTGACACCACCTTCGTCTTCACACACTCTTCATATAGTGTCATCTTCAGTAATCCACACATGGCTAGTGGCTACCATATGAAAAAGTATAGTTCTCTACATTATACAAGCACCAATCATGAACAGAGTCATTTGCAGAACCGATGTGGACCCTTTACCTGTTTTTTCATGAGCATGTTAAAGCTATAAAACACAGCCTATCAAGCTAAAGATCCTATTCCCTGCCAAGATTTTTTTTTTTAAGGTCCAACGGCAGCCCTTCCATTTCTTTAGGATTCCATTCCTTGAATCCTGAAGTCATTCACCTCTCTGTGGATGACCCTTCTGGCAGGTGTGTGTGCATGCATCTAGTCGCAGGCAGGTGTACTGTCTCACTCAGCGAAGCGGCGGCGTGCTCATGAGTCGCAGTCAGGAGCAGACACAGGTGGGGGCTTGTGGAAGCCGCCGAGTGGGAGCAACCGGAAACCGCAGTGCAAAGCAGAACCCTAACTGTGGTCCTCTTTTCTAGAAGGTCAGCTCACCCGACATTCTGCAGTCTCTCCACCAAGAACAGCCCAAGCTCTCTTCGGGGCCAGGTTTGAAGCAAGAAGACGGGCCAGCCAGCCCAGTGGCCCAGCCTTTCTCCGCAGCCTTGAGACATGTGAGTCTTGTCCTGATGGTCCTCACCTGGGGTTGTGTGTTACTAGGCGAGATGTCGGAGTGAAGTCTGCCCTTCAGAGACAGACCAAGGGTGCAGAAGAGCGTGGTGAGGTAGTTTTGTGCCTAGATGGGACCCAGGGGGTGGGTCAGTGGGTGGGGAGCCTGGGTATACTTTGATGGTGCCTTGTCTTCTGTCTGACATCTTCCTGTGAGCACGTTCCTACATGCAGAGAGCAACGATTAACAGAAATCGTGGCATCAGTTTAAAGAGCCCTGGTGGTGCCGGGGGTAAAGTGTTGGGCTGCTAAACCCAAAGATTGGCAGTTCAAACCCAACAGCTACTTGGAGGGAGAAAGATGAGGCTGTTTGCTTCCAGACAGCTTTACAGGTTCCACAGCTCCGTGGAGCCCCTCTACCCTGTCCTGCAGGGTCCCCATGGGCTGGAATGGGCAGCGCAGCAGTGGGTTTATGTTGCATGTCTTTAGGAGGTGGCGTTAAAGAGGAGAAATTCATGTTCTCACAGTTCTGGAGGCTAAAAAACCCCCAAGCTCTGGCCATTGAGTGGATTCCAACTCAGCCTCCTGATAGGGCAGAGTAGAACTGTCCTTTGTGAGTTTCTGAGACTGTCAATCTTCACGGGAGTAGGAAGCCTCCCCTTCCTCCCTGGGAGCAGCTGGTGGCTTCAAACTGCTGGCCTTGGGGTGAGCAGTCCACTGTGTAACCTGGGGCTCCTTTCAGGAGTCTGAATTCTAGGCATCAGCTACGGGGGGAAGCGTTCTCTTGGGATCTGTGTCCTTTCAGCTTCTGTCTCGTGGTTTCTGGAGATCTCCTTGTGACACGGACCTTCCCTCGTTTGTGCTTGCTTCTCTCTGTGGTCTCAGGCCCACCCTCTGCGGCTAAGGCCACATTCGCAGGACCCCGGAAATCCAAGCCTCAAGTGAGCGGCACCCACAGGGACAGTGGTTAGGATCCCAACACGGATTTGGGGGAAACAATGCAAAAAAAAAAGAAAGAAAAGAATCAACTCTTTAGATGGGCCCACACGAACACTGGTTCCTGGGAGTCAGAGGCTGAAGGGGTCCCAAAGTCCCAGCTCCTCCAAACTGCTAAGCCACTCTGTCATCTCCAGCACCCGCTGCTCCTCCCTCCCACCTTTGGGTTCAGGGACTCGCTGCACCGCCTCACAGAGGCTGCTCCTGATTCATGTGGCTGCCGGGGCTAATGAATCCACGTTGGCAGGTCAGATGACAGGCTGCTGGCTCACGAGCCTGTGGAAGCTGGTGACTCTGTTAAGACAGCCGGCTACGGGCTCAGGAACCAGTGATCGGGTGATGATGAGCCGAATGCAGGGCCCAGAGCAGGCGAGCGAGCTTTGCCAGAGCACACGTGCACAAATTGGATGCAGACCAAACCCTCAGGGGAACGCCCCTCACTCGAGCAGGGCGGTGCAAGTGTGCTTTCCTGGAAACCAGATGGCTGTCCGCCCCACGGGTGGGGCCTTTCTCAGGCTCTCTGTTCTGCCCCCCAACTGTCTGCCTCTCCGGATGCCAGCGCCACTCTGGCTCCATTGCTGAAGATTTATAGTCCTCCTGAAGCCGCCTGGTTGTCAACCTCCCAACTTTGCTTTCCTTTCTGAGATTACTTCGGGTTGTTCGAATCCGGTCGCTGTCTATTTGCAAGCATTTACAAAAATCCCTGCCCGCCTTCAAAACAGAATCACAGACTGGCGCTCATGCCCAGAACGGTGGCACGTGGCACGGTTGACAAGGCCTTGGGTGAGGGCGGCATCGCGAGGTCTCTGTAGTCACCACTGCTCCTTGTGAAGCCAGTTGTCCCTTCCCCCCTCCCCTCCACCTCCCCACCCCCCATGTTTCCTGTTTCCACTCTCCATCTTTCCTAACCCTTGTGAACTGTGTCCCTGAGGTCCAGGCTGCCCTTTGGATCCCAAACAGTTGGCTGTTCTAAGGTGAGCACACCTCCCCTGGGGTCATCATTCCCTTGCAGACTAGTCTATTGTTTGGTTGACAATAGAGCCAGTGGGTGGGTGGGGGAGAGGGGTGGTGTTGGGGAGGCGGGGAGTTCATGTCCAGATCTACAAGTTGTTGAGTGGGAAACTGATCTGCTCTGTAAACCTTCACCCAATTCACAATTTTAAAAATCGAATCAATGAATCATATATCCATTGCCTGGAAAAATAAGTAAATACTTTATGTGATTAAAAGAAAAAAAAATTGAGGTTGGGTTGATTTTGACTTGGGGTGCCCCTCGTGGATCAGAGTAGAACCTGGCTCTATGGAGTTTCCAACGGCTGATTTTATGTATTTTTTTGGAAGTAGGCTTCCAGGCTTTTCTTTTGAGGCACCTCTGGGTGGACTTGAACGTTCGACCTTGCGGTTGGCAGCTGAGCATGTTAACCATTTACTTCACCAGGATGCCCATGGCTCCTGAACACAATGATGACCTTACAGCTCAAAGCCAAAGCAAGCTCATTCCCTCAAGTCAGTGGCGAGACCCTCACCTTTTATTTTGATTATTTTTAGGATCATTTTATTGGGGGCTCTTACAGCTCTTATAACAATCCATACATCAACTGTATCAGACATATTTATACACGTGCCATCATTATTCTCTAAACATTTACAGTCTATTTGAGCCCTTGGGATCAGCTCCTCTTTTTACCCTCCCTCCCCTCCTCCCATTCTTGTAACCCCTTGATAAATTACAAATTATTATTAATTTCATATCTTATACCAACTGCTGTCGCCCCCCCCCCCCTTCTCCCTACCCTGGAATTGCTACTCTCATTTCTGTTCCCGAGGGGTTTATCTGACCTGGATTCCGTGTGTCCTGAGCTCGTCTCTGTACCTGTGCACAGTCTCCAGTGTAGTCCGCAGTGAAAGGCAGGCTTGGGGTCATGATAGTTAGGGGTGAAGAAGCCTTAAGGAACCAGAAGAATATTGTGTGTTTCCTCGGTGCTTTACTGCACCCTGGTTGACTCATCCCTTCCTTGCGGGCCTTCTGTGAGGTGATGTCCCATTGTCTACAGATGGGTTTTGGAGACCCTCACCTTTTAAGCCACCTGATTGGCTCACATGAAGTGCCTTTGTCTGTCAGGTGGCACTTCGGAGGGCTCTTTCCTGGGTGGGCCTGTGCAGGCTCTCCAGGGTCCTCAAACATACTGTCTGAGAACCATGCCATGAGTCTTCTCTAAACCCCCACTTGGCCTGTGTCACACCAGGACTGGAGCAGAGTGGGGCCAGGTTTCCCACCCTCTACATCCTGGGGCCCCTGATCCTTCTGGAAACCAGGGCGGTGAGGAGGTTGGGGCAGGCCTGCCAGCACGTTTGTTTGAGGGCGCTGAGCGGCTGCACCGCGGGCTCAGACAGAACCACCATGGCGAAGTGGGTTCAGCACTGGCCACCATTCCAGCGTGTGGTTTGTGGGGCCAAGAAGAGCCGGAACTAACCTGAAAGCCTGTCACAGCGCTCTCTCCCTGGCGAGGGTGGTGGGTGTTAGGGAGATGAAAGCATTGGGGTCGCACTCCCCAACCCCCACCCCAGGACAGGGTCGGTGAGGGCAGGCCTGACCACAGGGTTCCATCCGGTTTGCACTCGATGTTTTTTGGAGGTAAATTGCCAGGTTTTTCTTCCTGGTCGACCCTCGTCCGGAAACTCTGCTGAAGTCAGTTTAGCAGCTGAGGATGGGCAAGCGGTGGCTGCCTCTGAGGTGCCCTGGCTGGACCGGGCGCTGTCTGCAGCGAGGAAGGCACGCAATCCATGGTGGGGCCGCCGCTGCCCTGAGCCAGGCCATTGGAGGAAGGTGTCCTCTGGGTGGGTTCGACCCTAGGAGAGAATGTGGGCATGGCTGTGCTTTTGAACTGCACAAGGTTTGGAGATTTTGCTTGTAGCTTTGAAATGACATTAGATAACTTGTTGACCTGTGGAGAAGCCTCTAGGGAGAGTGGCTTGGGCAGGTCTCCCCAGCTTTGGCTCAAGCTTCCTTCTCTGTCACAGCCAGATGGGCCAAGGGCTCACGGGTAAGTCGGGCTGAGTGCTCAGCAGCTCGCATCTGCGGTTCAAAGCCTGCAGCCGGCTCGCCCACACTGTTGTAGTTCTGCGGGAGCAGAACCAGAGCCTGGGCAATGGTGGGTGGTGGAGCGAGTGATCTCTGAGGGAAGGCAGTGGACCTCAGAAGCAGTGTCTGCGAGAGAGCTTTGCTGGAGAGGCAGCCAGCAATGCACCACTTCCAAAAGCCATGGCCGTCTGATTACAGGTGAGGTGTCTCCCCGCCCTGACCTCCTGAGCTCCAGCATCCCACTCTGCGCCTGGCTCCTGAGACGTCCTCGGTGAACAATTACGGAGTGAAGGAAGGAAGCACGTGAAGTGTTTGAACCCCCAAAAAGCTCCATGTGCATTTGATAGCATGATGGGCAGGGAGCTTTGTACCTCCAGGGACCATGGATCAGAATCAGAATTGAGGTCAGAATTCTGGAGTGCTTGATTCTCACCCTAAGGAGCCCTGGTGGCTCAGTGGTTAAGGTGCTCAGCCGCTAACTGCAAGGTGTGTGGTTCAAGCCGACCAGCCTCCACGAGAGAGAGCTGACTCCGTCTGTCCCCGTGGAGACCGTCGGCCTCAAAACCGTCAGGAAGGACGTTCTCTCCTGAGTGGCTCTGAGTTGGAATCGACTCAGTGGCGAGGATTTTGGTGTTTTGGTTTTGAATCTTCACCTCGAGGAGCCAGGGTGGTGCAGAGGTTAAAGTGCTCAGCGGCTAACTGCCAGGTCAGTGGTTCAAACCCACCAGTTACTCTGCAGGAGGAAGATGTGGCCGCCTGCAATGGTACAGATTCAACCCAACCCAAACCAAACCTACTTGCCACCGACTGGAGCCTTGGAAAACCATCGGAGGGCAGTTCTAGTCCGTGCTATCGAGTCAGGGTGGACGTGACAGCCACAGGCCACTGAAGTCCCAATCCTGCGTAACGTCCACTTCTTCTGTGGAGTTATCAGTGCCTGCCACACGGGGGCACGGTGGTCAGACGCCATCGTGAATTATAACAGCAACCTCAACAGCCCATCGCCACCGAGCTGATTCCAACTCAGAGCGACCACATGGGACAGACAGAGTGGGACTGTCGCAGAGCGCTTCCCAGACTGTCAAGCGGACTGTAGACCAGCAAAGGTTTGCTGAAGATTGTCCGACCGTGGTCGCATCAGTACATCAACAGGGGACAGGCCAGATGTTCAGGCTGGACTCAGAAGAGGATGTAGGACAAGGGGTGTCATGGCTGAAGTCAGATGGACCTTGGCTCAAAGTAAAGAATACCAGAAGGATGTCTACCTGTGCTTTATTGATGACCGAGGTCTCCGACTGTGTGGACCATCATAAACGATGGGTCACCTTGGGAAGAGGCGGCATTCCAGGACACTTGATGGTGCGCATGCGGAGCCTGGAACAGAACAGGGGAGAGTGCCTGGTGTCGCATCAGGAAAGTGTGCGCCAGGGTCGTGTCCTCCCACCATGCTTGTTCCATCTGTGTGCCGAGCAAGTCACCGGAGAAGCTGGCTGATACGAAGAAGGACGTGGTCTCAGGACTGGAGGAAGGCTCATTACCAATCTGTGATACGCAGACGACCCCACCTGGCTTAAAGGAGCTCTCCCTGTCCCTCCGTCCTTGCTTCTAAAGCATGCTGGCTGTACTTCTTCCAAGACCCATTTGTTTTTCATTCTGCAGCCCGTGGTATATCCCATATTCTTCACCAGCCCCATAATCCAAAGGCATAGAGCCTTCCTCAGACTTCCTTATCTGTTGCCCAGTTTTCCCATGCAAACGAAGCAACTGACAATGACAGCACTTGGGTCAGGCACACCCTAGTCCCCAAAGTGGCACCTTTGTGTCTGTGAATTGGTAATAACCAGAAATGAATCATAACATTGCCTCGGCATCAGTGAAAGAAAAACTGACAGAGCCCAACAGAGAAATCGATACATGCATAGGGATTTTCACAAACTCTTCTCAGAAGTTGTCACTACCCTTGGAAGCCCCAGCCAAGAACTCCAGTGACATCATTGCACCGGGCGCATCTGCTGCAAAAGGACTCTCTCGAGTGCTCAAAAGCTCTGTTGTTACTTTGAGGACGGAAGTGGCCAGAGCCCACGCCAGGGTGTTTTCAATCGCCGGGCATTTGACTGAGCTGGGTCTGCTCTTTGAGGACTGTCCCGTTTCCAGTGGACTCTGGGAAGAAACTCACTGCACATTTCCACGCTGAACGTCTGTTTATCTAGCCTCTCTTCTGCGCTGGCCCCGAACGCCTTTCTCCCTGGTATATAAAACACCATTTCTAATTCAGCAAGTACCCTGGGGATGGGGGAGGGATGGGGGGCATAGCAACTCGTTTCTGTCTTACCTTAATGTGCTTTTCATTTGAGGGCGACAGGCGGGTTCTTAGCTCCGCTCATGTCCTGCGAGCTTCCCTAGCCCCGTCTCTGGATGCGATCTCCCAGCCCTGCTGAAAACAGGCTCCACCCGAGCCTCTTGCTGCCGCTTTGAGGTGGTCTTGCCGGGTCTCCAGTCTCTGATGCTTCCGAATGGACAGACAAACACCGGGGAGGGAACTGCTGCCCATCGGAAAGTGCTTTTCCTAGCACCTTAGATGTTTGCTCCTGGCTGTCTGCTTAGCGCTGCAATGTTTTTGAACTGTTGGCTTTAAAAAAAAAAAGTATGTCAAATAAGCATTTTTCAAAAATCATTTTATTGGGGGCTCTTACAGCTCATCACAATACATCCATCCATCCATTGTGTCAAGCACATTTGTATATTTGTTGCCATCATCATTCTCAAAACATTTTCTTTCTACTTGAGCCCTTGGTATCAGCCCATTTCCCCCCTCCCCCTCCCTCCCTCATGAACCCTTGATAATTTATAAATTATGATTTTTTTTTCCATGCCTTACGCCGACTGCTGTCTCCCGTCATCCACTTTTCTGTTGTCCGTCCCCCTGGGAGGGGGTTACGTGTAGCTCCTTGTGATGGGCTCCCCCTTCCTCCCTCACCTTCCCCTTCCCCTCCTGCTATGGCTGTTCTCATTTTCGGTCCTGAGGGGTTTGTTTTGTTTTTTTAACCCAGCTTTCAAAGCTTGCCAATACATTAGCAGAAAAGTCGGCCTACTACAATGTAGCCTGACGGAACCAGAACCAAGCCCCAGGGTGACGGCCATTCTCCTGATCAGAAGTTGTCAGGACTTGGTGGGTGTTGGCCTTGTTCCTGGCCACTCAGCCCACGCTCTTCCATCGTGAGTGCTCCGTACCTGACTGCCATGCTCTCTCACCGCTCCCTGCCGTTTGCAGTGTGCACAACGTGGGAGGTGTTTTCCATTCAAACACTTGCATGGGGGTGGGCAGACGACATGTCCCCCAGTACCCACGACTGGGTGCAGGGAGCTGGTTCTGCTCCTGGAAGGAGTGACTTCCGGTTGGCTCTCCTTGGGGGAGCTCGTGGTTTGCTTTGATGTTTAGTCTCTCTCTCTGCCCTGGGTTTCTGTCTTAGTTCCAACCACATTGAAGTCCAATGACTAACCATAAGGTTGTCTATTTGTCTTGAGGACCCCAAGCATTCTGGGTTACTTATCAGCATTCCCGAATCTTAGGGGGCCCTCACCTGTGGGAGAGTGGCCGGTTCCCTTTTAGATGCCCATAAGAATGGAAACAATCTACAGCGTGACCTCGATTTGCTTTGCACTTGGCAGGCCTTGCCCGTCGCGTTTACCCTTCACTGTCACCCTCGGCTACCAGTGTTTCTCCTTCTGTTTAGACATCGTCACAGTCCCTAAGTAAGTAGCAGGACCAGCATCGGGTTCCGGGTTCATCTGGTTGACGATTCCAGGCACCCAGCCACCGAGCCAGGTGCTCCCCACATGGCTGTCCCTGGCGTGGGTCTCTTCCACCCTCCTGAGGTTTTTCTCTGCAGAGTGGCACCGGGTAAACTTCACTTTGTCCTGAGTGACTCAGGCTAAAGAATGAGGTGGTCTCACTCTGTGGCGAGGCAGAGACCCTATCTGGTGAGACAGGTTCTTCTGAGAGTCCCCCTCTCTGCAGGACAGAACAGGTGGTCACTTGTTTGGCCAAACACAAGCGGGTGGGTTATTCATTGAATGGAAGCCAGCATGCATGCGCTACCCTTGTTTTGATTTATCGGATGCCATCCTACCAGAAGTGCCAATGAAGAGTGGTTATCTGTGAAGTGATAAATCATCCTGTCATTTTTAATTTCAGGGGAGTTTAATTAGCATCAGCAGCACTTGTACAGAGATGGGCAATTTCGACTCCACTCATGTCACTGGAGAAATAGAGTTTGCCCTTCGTTACTGCTACAGAACCCACACTTTAGAAATAAGCATCAGCGCCTGCAAGAACCTCGCCTTCGGAGAGGAAAGGAAGAAAAAGTGCAATCCGTGAGTTCTCTCTCTCTCCCCCTCCTCTCTCTTTTGTCAGTCTTGAAACGAGATGCTAGACACCTTAAACATGCATATGGAAAAGTCAAAGTTAAGAGAATAACCAGGTAAATGAGAACAAATATGTCGTCGTACTTCAAGAATTCTTACAGCGTTCAAGAAGGAAGAGAATGTTTTGAAGCGGACGGTGGTAGCCATTGTACAACACTGCTTGCTGTGAATGAAGTGTGGAATGATAGGATATCTGTTTTGCTCCCAACAGCATGGTTTTGAACAAATACAGTAAAATTAAGGTTTCTATTCATTATTAGCGATAAAAGAATTGTTATAATGCTTTCATCGAACGAGGATAGGTGGAAGGGGCAGTAGCGCAAACTGAAACCTGCAGATCGAGACTCCCTGGTGTTTGGAGCCGACAGGGCCAGAGGCCGTTACAGACCCTGGTGGGAAATGACAGGGTCAGTCAGTGGTGTCGGAAGCATTGACTTGCCACGCAGGAGAAAAAAGAAGGTCGGAATCATGCTTCACACTGTCCACCAGCACGTGCAAGGTCACCATGATTCCCAAGTGCCGCTCCCCGATTGGCTGCCCAGGCTGAGCAGCTTTTCATATGAGCATTAGCCTCATCGGTATCCCTTGCCATGAATTTCCGATTCGAGCCCCTGCCCCGTTTTCCTATGGGATCGCTTATCATTTCCTCAGGAAATCCTACAGGATTTTTTAAAGGCCTGTTTTGAATATAGGTATTTGAAACCGCTTCTCATACATAGCATGTTATTGATCTGTGATGATTCGTTGTTGTTGGACACTGTCGAGTGTCCTCAGCTCCTAGCGATCCCACGAGACAGGGCTGAACTGCCCCTTGGTGCTCCCTGGGCTGCGGTCTTTATGGGAGCAGACCCTCAGGTCCTTTCTTCCGTGGAACTGCCGGGGAGTTCAGGCCACCGGGCTTCGGGTTGGTAGTCGGTGCTCAATGACTGGTCCCTGGAGCTCTTTGCAATGATTTCACTCGGGAGAAAATTTGAAAATGTCCAATGTATCCATTTTTTTTTTTTCCTAAAAGAAATCTTGCTTTTTGCGTTAGTAGGTGTATTAGTCTGGGTACTTTGGAGAAACAAATCCATGGCGACTCACGTATAAGAGAGAGTTTTATGCAAAGAAAA